TGCATCTCATAGGTTTTGGAATGTTACACTTTCATTTTCTATCATCTCTAAGTCTTTTCTATTTTCTTTGTGATTTCTTAGATTCATTGGATATTTAATAGTGTATATTTTAATTTTTAGCATAATTGTGAAATTCTCCATTTTCTTTGTGTTATTGATTTCTAGTTTGACTCCTTTGTGGTCAGAGAAGATACTTTAATATTTCAGTCTTTTAAAATTTACTGACAATTTTAGCCCTGGTAATAGAGTGGGTTACACTTTGACTGCTAACCCACAAGGTCAGCAGTTAGAAACCACTAGCCACTCTGGCAGAAAGATGAGGCTTTCTAATCCTGTAAAGATTTATAGTCTCGGAAAGCCACAAGGGAAGTTCTACCCTCTTACAGGGTCTCTGTGAGTTGGAATCAACTCGATGGCAATGAGTTGGTTTTGGTATTTGCAACCTAATATGTGGTCTAGTCTCTAAAGTGATTCATATACACTGGATAAGAGTACTTGTGCCGTTGTTGGGTGGATTGGCCTATAAACAGGCAGTCTCCACATTATAAACAGGTTGCGTTCCTAAGTCTTTCTTTAAGTCAAATTTGTACATAAGTCAGTACAGTTAGGTACAGTTCATATCTAACATTAGTAAGTTAAATGTTTGTCTTAGTGTATAGTATATAGTGTACCTCTGTAGGCATAAAAATTAAAGAAGCACTTCCATAAACACTAGAGCATCTTTAACATAACAATATAATAATAATAATGTTAATGTTTTGGTGCATATTATAAAATAGCACCCATTTGTTATTACAAACCATTGTATGTACCTCAATTTTTTAATATAATAAGTTTTACAGGAGTTGAATTATAACTTCACATTGTATGTAAGTCATACATTCTTAACTCTAGGACTACCTATATATCTCTCGGTTAGATGGTTTATAGTGTTCAAATCTTCTATTTCCTTATTGATCTTCTGTGTATATGATCTGTACAACATTGAAAATCGTTTGTTGAAATCTACAGTGATTATTGTAGAACTATTCATTCCTCCCTTCAATTCTGCCAATGTTTGCTTCATATATTTGGGGGCTATTAACAGAAAAACACGCCCAAAGTATGTGAGATGTAATTTTAGCATCCTTCCTTTTAAGGAACATTCTTGCTGTGCTTCTTCCAAAACAGATTTGTTTGTTCTTCGGGCAGTCCACAGCATTTTCAATATTCTTCACCAACACCATAACCTAAATGCATCAGTTGTTCTGCAGTCTTCTTTATTCAGTATACAGCTTTCACATAAATATGAGGCAATTGAAAACACCATGGTTTGGATCAGGCACACCTTAGTCCTCAAATTGGCATTCTTGCACTTTATATAACTCACAAAGTCCACTCCCAATAGATATAAAAACAGAGACTCAAAGGACATTTGTATAATAATGTCCATTGCAGTACTATTCACAATTGTCAAAAGGTGAAAACAACCTAAATGCCTATCAACAGACAAATGGATAAATAAAATGTACCTATATACAATGAACTACTACTCAGCCAGTATGAGAAATGAAGTTTTGATACCAATAAAACCAAACCCATTGTCATTAAATTGATTCCAACTGCTAGAGACCTCATAAAATAAAGTAGAATTGCCCACAGGATTTCTAAGGCTGCAAAATTTATGGCAGCAGCAGACTGCTACACCCCAAGCATGTGGTGGGTTTGAACTGCTTACTTTTCTGTTTGCAGCTGAGCACTTAACCATGGTGTTACCAGGGCTCTTTATGAAATCATAATATGTGCTACAATGTGGAAAGAGCTTGAAGTGAAATATGTCAATCACAAAAGGAAAAGGAAAAAAAACCCTGCTATCTAATAATGCAGTGACTGTGTGTATTCCTTCCATCTTCTTTTGATGCTTCCTCCAGCATTCAATATTTTGCCCATAGAATCTTTCACTTTAGCAACTCAAGGCTTGAATTTTTTCTTTACTCCTTTCAACTTGATATATCCTAAGTGTGTTTTCTTTTTGGTTTTCAACTGATATTTGCACATTTAATTATAATACATTGTCTTCCCTTTGAAATTTTTTGTTCAGCTTTTGCACATCGTTTCTTCCATCTTCTAGCTGCTCTATGCTCAAGAGCAAGTTTCAGAGTCTCTTCTAACATCCACTTTGATCTTTTCTCTTTCTTGTCTTTTTACTGACCTTTTGCTTTCTTCGTGTGTGATGTTCTTGATGTGATCCCACAGGTCATCAAGTCTTCTGGTATTAGTGGTCAGTGAGTAAAATCTATTCTTGAGGTGGACTCTAAATTCAGGTGGGATATAGCCAGGGTCATATTTTGCTCTAATGAACTTGTTTTAATTTTTTCAGCTTTAACCTGAACTTTCTTCTGAGCAATTTGATAGTCTGTTCCAAAGTCAGCCCCTGGCATTGTTTCAGCTGAAGATACTAGAAGCTTGATTCTCTATCGTCACTTCCCAGATATAGTCCATTTAATTCCTGTATATTCCATATGGTGAAGTCCATGTGTATAGTTGCCATTTATGTTGTTTAAAAAAGGTGTTTATGATGAAGAAGTCATTGTTCTTGAAATTTTCTGTCATGTAGTCTCCAGCTTCATTTCTATCACCAAAGCCACATTTTCCTTTTGTTCCTTCCACTTTGCTTCCAAATTTCTCATTCCAGTTGTCAATAATTATCAGGCATCTTGATCACATGTTTGATCAATTTCAGACTAAAGACTTTGATAGAAGTATTTAATTTCTTCATTAGATTTAGTGATTGGTATGTAAATTTGAATAATACTTGCATTAACAAAATTTCTCTGTAGGTGTATCGGTATTATCCTATCATAGATAGCATTGTATTTCAAGATACAACTTGAAATATTCTTTTTGATGATGTCTGCGACATCATTCATCTTGAAGCTATCATTCCTGGCATAGTAAAGCATATGATCGTCTGATCGAAAATACCCAACACCCATTCATTTCATCTCACTAATGCCTAGGATATTGATCTGTATGCCTTCCTCGAGTCACACATTGTATATTCCATGTTCCAATTATTAGTAGATGTTTGCAGCTGTTCTCATTTTGACTCAAACCCCATTGGCAAATAAAGGTACTGAAGACTGTACTCTATCTGAGTCACATGGTTGACTGTCCTTTGAGAAGGCAGCTCTTCCTCTGTCATATTTTGATTGCCTTGTGACATAAGGGACTTATCTTCTGGCAATCTCTCTGACAGTGTTCCACTGCTATTCATAAGGTTTTAGTGGCTAATTACTCAGAAATGGACAGCATCCTCTTTCCTCATAGTGTATTTTTACTCTGGAAGCTCTGCTGAAACCTGTTCACCTTCAGTGGTATTTGAAATACCAGTGACATAGCTTCAAGCCTTATAGCAATACACAATTCACCACAGTTCAACAAATTTGACAGATGAGTGGTGGACAAGATAATTTAGAAGTATTCAGATTAATGCCTAGGAATGACAGAACAGATGTTTAGAGAATTGAAAAATAAAAACTCAGTCTTTGGTTCTAGAATGTAGTTTTAAATTACCTTAAAATATTTTCAAATAATTATTACTACTGGTGCCTGGCTGCAATTCCTGTTTGGTATGGTTCCATTATTTGTGACCTAGAATTTGGCTGGTAAATGGGGAGAGTTTGAGAAAAGGTTTTTTGGCAAAATGTACTTAAGTGGGGTCCCCCCCTCCATGAAAAACGGAATTGCGCTGGGTGGAGTAGAGCTTTTATAGTATGCATTTTTTCTGCTAGGCGAGCATAAAGCAACTTGCTCTGAGTTAGTGCACCCAGTGGGAAGAACCTAAGAAGGTTCTTTCTGGTCACAGTGAATATTTTCGTGAAAGCAGTTTCACTCAAAGCTCATTTTTTGTGATGGTCAATTTAAGAGAACAGCATGTGGCTGTGAAATTTTGTTTCTTGCTCAGGAAAAATGCTGTAGAAACTGTTGTGATGTTGAACACAGCTTACAAGGACAGCACTATGGGAAAAACTAAAGTGTACGCGTGGTTTTCTCATTTCCTAAAAGATGAAATGTTGATTGATGACAAACCTCGTTCTGGACGTCCATTGACTTCCTGAACAGATGAAAATGTCAACTCCTAATGCATTTGGAGTTCATTCCCCCAGGTTAGACTGTTAATCAAGCTTTCTATTTAGAGGTTCTGAAAAGATTGCATAACAAAGTGTGACTGTTAACAAAGGCCTGATTTGTGGCAGATGGGGAACTGGTTTTGCCACCACAGCAATGCACCTACTCATGCAGCCATCTCAATGAGCCAGTTTTTGGCAAAAAACAGCATGCGTCTCTTGCCCCATGCCCCTTACTCACCTGACCTCACTCCATGGGACTTCTTTTTGTTTCCGCAAATGAAGAGGGACATGAAAAGACAGTGATTTGACAACATAGAAGAGGTGAAGAAAAAATGAGGGAGGTGCTGTCAGCATCAAAACAGATGAGTTTGAAAAATGTTTCCAAGAATGGAATCACAAATTTCACAAATGTATTAAGTATAATGGAGAGTACTTTGAAGGTGATAAGATTGTTTTGTTTTTTAAAAAAATTAAATACATAGTTTTGGGGGGGGGATTCAGGGTGTTTTGACACCCTTGAATTGCTTTTGATCTTATTTGCCATTTTATCTGGGTTTTGGGGGAGTACACTAACTGGGTAGAGTTCTAGTTTTTATAGAAGAATGAAAACAGAAAACCAGACTATTTATAACACTTTTAAAATGTCACACTAGTCCTCTAATATTACAGAAGCTAATCTTCATGTGATGGGACTCCATGTTCATTTCATTTGTTTTAAGATTAGCATAGAAAGAAGAAACTGAGATGATGTGTCCCATGTACCTCCCCCTTTCTTTTATCCCCAAAGAAGATGCTGGAGATTCTTTAGATAATAATAAAAACATTAATTTAAGAACATACATGTATTCATGTTAAATAAACCAACAACATACTTGGTTTTGCTTATAGGTCCTGTTATTGCCTTGGAGTTTAATGGAGATGGTGTTGTAGAAGGATGTCATCTCATTGTAAATGAGATATTCAATGGGACCAAGGTACAAGATTTTATTGACTAATTATATTGCAGTCAGGCCTTTTCATCTGTTTCTTTAGCTTACAGCCAAGTATTGCTTTTTTCTCTAGTGTTGTGTGGAATTTAAAAAATAAAAAGCAGATCATGATTTTGACTCTGTGGTAAATAAGTGGAAGCTAAGCTTTGGTTTTTCATTGTAAAGCTAAGATTTTTAATTTTTAAATATTCAGAAAATAAAGATATGCTTATTAAAATCCCTCAATAGTTTCTAAAGTCAAAGTCTGAGCAAATATGTTCATAAGTTGTTACACTTTTTAAAATAATGATATCTTAAAGATCTATTTCTAAGATCATATATGGTTTAGACAGGTAGTTTTGTTACTCAGTTGTTTATTTTTATTTGCTTCAGTTATGCTTCACCAAAAATTGAACTTGAAGCATGTCTAGAAACCATCACATGGGTATTTTGTAGATATGTTAATGAGGTTGCTGTATCTAAGAAGTTCAACTTAATACCCCAATATAACTTAAAAACCAAGCATGTCAAAGAAGATTAAATGATTAAATATATCATTCTGAGCTGTTATAGCTGAATGATTTAGAGATTATGAACCTGCACGTTTTACAGATATAATAGTACTGATTTATAATAAAGTAGAATAGTACCCCCCCAAAAACAAACAAACTCACTGCCATCAAGTCAATTCTGATTCATAATGACCCTATAGGACAAGGTAGAACTGCCCTTGTGGGTTTCTGGGGCTAATGTTTTAAGGAAGTAGCTAGCCTCATCTTTCTCCCAGTCTCATCTAATTCCTGGCTCACATTTGTAAAAGCTAGTTTTGAAAGGTTCTATTGAGCACTGCTTTATTTGCCTGAGGTTTGAAAAATAGTTCCTTTAGAATTAATAAGGAGTCCTGGTGGCAAAATAGGTTAAGCTTTGAACTACTAACCAAAAGCTCAATGGTTCAAGCTCAACAGCAACTCAATAGGAAAAAGATGAGGCCATCTGCTTACATAAAGATTTTATAGCCTCAGAATCCCTATGAAGCAGTTCTACAGTCACTTGGAGTGGGAATCAACTCCGTAACAGTAGGTTTTGTTTTGGTCTTAAAATTAGTTATAGATCTTTAGTAGCTTTAAAAAATATTACCTCTGCAAGTTTGGCTTCCCAACCAATTGAAATTGTTATTAAAAAATAGAAGCAGCTATGGGGTCTTCAAATAAGTCTTATTATTCAGTGTTGTTGTTAGGTACCCTCAAGTAGCTCTGACTCTTAACAGCGCTATGTACAACAGAACGAAATGCTGTGCATCCCTGTGCTATCCTCACAGTTATTCAGTAGCATTTGTGATATTGGGTGTTGTATATGAGAAAAAATGTAAAATTGCTAGCATAATAAAATACAACTAAAGTATTATGAACACAGAGACCTTAATTATGAGCACTTTTAAAGGAATTTAATTGGAAGAGGTTTTGAATGACAAAGAGTTATTGAAACTATATTAGATGAATTCTACAGATTAAATATTATGAGGATGTGATTTTGACCTACGGAGAAAACAGACTTTGGGGGATTGCTATTATTTATTTTTTGTTTCTTTTATACTTAAAATAGATGTTTGTATCAGAAAGCAAGGAAACAGCAGCTGGAGATGTAGACGGCTTCTACAACTTTGCTGATATACAGATGGGAATATGAAGTGTAATTTGGAACCAAGGACTTGGTATTAAGCTTTTCCAACTTGTTTATGTAGAGTATGATAATATACATTTTTGTATTAGCAATGATTTTTACTATGCTAAAATTTTTAAAGTTTATTTTTAATAAATTGATGAGTACTGCATTATTTACTTGAGGCTCAAAAATAGTTCATTTTAAATTGAATAGTTTTAATTAGCGTTAAAGTATTGAACCGACTCCTCCACTAAGCTTGCAGTTTTATTTCTTTGCATATGATACTCGTATTAGAAAATAGAAGTAACTAATAGTTCATTTTTTTTAATCCTAAGTAAATGTTCTTCCAAATTTCTAAGAACGTAGACTTTCATCGGTGCTCCATGATATTTGTTTGAGAATACATTTTTTTTTATTTAGAGGGACTTTTTACTATTTGATCTAGCATAATAAACCTGTATATGTTATTTACATGTGTGCATATTCATTTAAACAATTGTTTCCTAGTTGCATGATCTAGCAAATGAGATTTTGTACATGGAGTTGATGTAATACTTTGTACATTGATTTTTAAAGAGATAGGTATTTGATAACCAGTTTTGCAAGTTAAACTCTACTAACCGATGTTGGTATAGCAATTTAAAGACTACTTTGTGGGTAGCATGATTATTTGAATAAATCCCATACTGTTTAGTTTTTTAACACAATGCTGGCTGATTCTTCTGCTTCCTGATAAGAAAAGGTAAATATGCAAGACTAATAAACTCTAGATGCCCTATCACTGGCAGTTCTTAAAAAGGAAATTGTTTTATTAGATTTTGTAGGCTTTTAAGAGCATTAGAACAAAACCTGGACAAACAGGTTAAGAAATGCTGAGGCATGGTTATAAGCTATGCAAATTATTTTTAAATTTCTACATGAGTTTTACTTTCAGTAAATATACCTCACAAGTCAAAAAATGTTGAAGTACGATAAACTTATTTTAGTTGCTTTGAAGCATTATTTCCCAAACATGCTGCTCATTTACTAGGGCCAAGGAATCTACTTATTAAAAATACACCTTCTTAGGCTCAATCTCCAGATGAATGCTATCAGTCTCTAGGGACACTCTTTTGAGGAGTATGTTAGAATCTAAAATAATCAGAGAATATTGCTAGGACAGCTTATGAGAAGGAACTCAACCTGCCATTCACATTATATGTAGAAGCTAATAAGAAACCAGCTTTAATAGGCCTATTTTTTAAAGAAACTTTAAATTTAATTATATTTTGATGAAACAAAGATTGAAAATGCCACTTGTAAAATTCCTCTTATTGTTTATTACTAAAAAGAGTATTTTCATGTTTTAAATGAAAATGTTTGGGGATATTTTCCGATTAGTTTTAATTCCTACATTGAATTGTGTATGGATGTTCAGAAATAGTACACTGAAAGACTTTTCACATTAAATTAGTAATATTGAGCACCCAGCCACCCTGTGCGTGGCCTTATGATACCTGTTAGCAGTGCATCGTTTCAATACTTCTATTAAGGCATTCTATACTACAAAACTAGATTCTCTTTTAGAACAAACTATTTCATAAGGTGCAAATCAAATTGGGTGATAATTTGGATCACAATTTACAAATGAGCTTTACAAACAATGATCAGAGGGCATTATTTTTCCCTTATCTAAGCTGTTAGTGTGCTTGTTAGTTGCCAGTCGGGTTAATCCAACTCATGGTGACCCCATTCAACATATTCTCTGATTATGATTATATTATGAAACATCATTGTTCCCATTAAAAATGAGCACAATATTTATTGCTTTAGAAAAATACACTTCCTTCAGCAAAACTTACAATTAAGTTCCTTATAACATCTTAGCAAAAACTCAGGAATGTAATATATAAAGGAGATATTAACTAAAATTTTTCCATTAGATTTAGTGTCTATTAACCAAAGCCTAAAATTTTATATACTAAAGTTAGATAGGAACTCTTACCTGAGTTTAATATGTCTTTAAGAACAATAATTTGGCTTCTGAATGTTTAACTGGATTTTAAACAATAAGTAATAATAAGTATAATTAGTTCTGTTGTTTAAAAAATTGGTAGTAATCTGAATATACATTTAATTGTTTAGCTTTGGTTTCATGAAAAATGAGTAGCTTTCTTAAAATTATATATATTTACATTTGATATTAGCTTTATTTCTATTCTTTTAATAGTACTACTGTTCTTGCTTCTGGATATTTATGCCTGGCTTTTGTATGTAATTTATCTAGTGGTTATAAAATGTGATTTGTAATAAATGTTGAAAATGAAAATGGCTTAACACTTCTTTTTGTAGAGCACATATTTACTTACACATATAGAACATTACACAATTTTTAAAATTTAATGTTTAACGCTAAATAAAATAGTCTAATCTGTGTCCTAGGTTAATGAGACATTAACTACATGCAAATGCAAATGCACATATTCTAAGCATGCTGGAAATAAGCAAAGGAAGTAGAAAATCAAGTTTAGTCTTAAGGAATTGCCAATGTAATTCTTTCTGTACTAAAAAATACAAAAGTACTGAAACTGCAAATTTGTTAGTGTTTAAACAGCATTTATTTTTTTAGAGAAATTGAGAAAGAAAACATGCACTTGATGTTCTAATCTTAAATTTTGTTTTTCTCATTTAAAAGGTACAGAATTGAACTCTGTTTATAAGAGAAGGGATTTCCTAGTGACAAGTTCCAGCAACCGATTCAGAAACAACTTTTTCTCTTTTGTAGTGTTTCAGTGCTTTGCTGGTGAGTGAGGGCTGGTTCTCACCTATAACTGACTAGTGAAGGAGCAAGAGCACAGGAAGCAAAGAGCGCAACACTCTCACCACGGATTTGATACTCCTTCTGGGTCCTCCCCTTACCCTTTCATTTTAACCTGGTCCACTGGTAAGTGGATTAATGAAAATTAACTTGCACATTGTGTGACAAGTATCCCTAAAATGAACTACCCACAAAGAGATAATTAGCATCACACGTCATCATTTTAAGTGGATACTGGCAATACTTGAGCTTACTGCAATAGCAGTAGCAAACCAAACCAAATTCACTGCCACCAAGTCGATTCTGATTCATGGTCCCCGTGGTTTTCAGGGACTAACTCTGTGGGAGTAGAAAGCCTCAACTTTCTCCTGTGGAGTGGCTGATACTTTTGAACTGCTCACCTTGCAGTCATACCCCAACTTGTCAACACTACACCACTAAGTTCAACTTATACCCTAAGTCATAGAACTAAAAGCCTCTTGACTTGCCCCACCCATCTCTACTCCCACCCCCTCGTTTACCAGGAGAATAAGACCCAACTCATGGATTCCTTAGTTATGAAGCCTTTTCAGGTAGAAGAGCTCATTCATTCCTTCTTTGGTGCACACATGTACTCTGTATAAATGTCCAAGTACTTGTAATGATTTAGTCTATTTATGAAAGGACTTCAGAAAGTTCGTGGGAAAATTCCATTATATTTGCATTCTTTTTCTCTATGAATTGTTGGAAGCCCCCTCAGACAAGCAGCATGAGCATCTTCTAGCAGCTTGTTACAATCTCAGGCCCCATTTCAGATCTATTGAATAACCAACCATCTGCGTTTTAAAAAGATCCTCAGGGAAGTCATATGCATATTAAAATTAAAGAAGTTCTGTGCTAGACAATTAGCTCCTCATGGGCTATAATCAAGGCGTAGAAAACTTTGTATTCCAAGAGAGTAACTTAGAGTCCACTATGTGATCTATTTTGAGTCACAATGTTAACTTTTTATTGTGAACTAGGTGAAGTTTACAGGGCAGATCATCAGTTTTGCATTCAACATATTTTATAAATATTTTAAATAAACAATTTGCAATCTAGTGCTTCTTAATTCTTACCTTCAAATTTTAGTCTTTAATTCTTCCCTTCATGTATCTGCCTTGGTTGGAGTTACCCTGAAAAATATGTGCTGCAAATCCTAACCACTATGCCTGTGGTTATAATCCCATTTAGGAACAGGGTGTCTTTGTTTTGTTAACTAGGTAGGATTAGTGTAAGGTATATCTTGAATCAGTGTCTTTTGAAATATGAAAGATATTAAACATGTAAACTAGAAGACATAGAAAGGGAAAAGAGATGCCAAATTACTTGATGACTGCTCAAGAGCAGGAGCTCAGAAGAGTCAAGGACCTTCTTCCAGTGCCTCCTGAAGCAGGCACCCTGAATTAGGACTTCTAGCAACCTAAACTGTGAGAAAAAATTTTCTGTTAGTCAAAGCCACCCATCTGTGGTACTTCTGTTATAGCAGTACAAGATAATGAAGATACTGTATATACTCTTGTATAAGCCGAGTTTTCCAGCACATTTAAAATGCAGTTTTTGTGGTAAAATTAGGTACCTCAACAGATATTTGGGTTGGCTTATACTTGAGTATATATGGTTGGTTTTAGAATTTAAAAAACCTGTATATCATGATTTTTTTCCTACTTGGTGTTTCTGCACCAAGAGACAGACCTAAAGAGCTATAAGAACATTTGTGATATTCATAAGAGGACAGTAGTTCCTGATTCATTTTCTAATCGAGTTTCATATTCAGAATTGCTTTATTCAAGTAGCAAGTGTGTAAAACCAGTGCAGTGATTTGGTGATGCCACGGCTGAGTGAAAGGGGAGCCTTGGTGGTATGATAAGTTAACTGTTGGGGTACTGATTGCAAAGTCTCGGTGGTTCAAGCCCATCAGTCACTCCATAAAAGAAAGATGAAGCTATCTGTTCCTATAAAGATTTAGTCTTGAAAACCCTAAGGAGCCATTCTACTCCATCCTACAAGGTCACTATTGAGTTGATGACAACAGGTTTGAGGTTTGTTTTTTTCTTGGTAGTGGTTTGGTTTTGTTCTTTCAGGGATGAGCTTGGCCATCATCAATAAAATGTGCAGGATTAGACACAGAAGTGCTGCGTTTTGCTCCAAATTTTAAGGGAAAAAATGGTAGTAACAGTAACTTTTATTTCTTTTTTGGAACAAAGGCTTAATTATAAATTGAAAACTTGGAAGTAAAATCCTAAATGCATATTACCTTTCACTTATTTTAAATGTTTTTTCTTTCTCTTTCCTCAGTATAAATCTTAACTTCTTAATATGAGGCTCAAATGTCATACTTATAAAATATTTCATTACATTTAATCAGTGGTGGGAGTAGACCAGGATCCAGGTAATGTATGATCACCCCTTCTTCTTACTGTTTTAAAGGGAACATAACAGAAACAAGGAAGAAACGTGCACAGATATGGTGCTTAGGTTTAAAGAGTCAGATGTTTTAGTGACCTCCTTTACACATATATATGGGAATATATAACATTTTTCCACATTTAAGTGTACAATTCAGTGACAGTTAATATTCATAATGTTGGACAATCATCACAATTACTTGTTTGCAAAATGTTTTCATCTCCCCAAATGAAAAGTTCTATTCATTAAGAAATAGCTCCCTTTTACTCCCTCCTCCCCAGCTCCAGCTCCTCAGCAGTACTTTCTTTATGTACTTGCCTATTCTAGATATTTCATTTAAGTGGAATCATGCAGTGTTTGGTGTGTGTGTGTGTGTGTGTGTGTGTGTGTGTCTGGCTTATTGTTTGCAATTGAATACTAAGCTAAAGATTGACAGTTTGAAAAAGAAGAGTTAACAGTCTCCTTCTGTATAGATTTATGTTGTAGTGTACTGAAGACTATAGTTCATCTTCGTCCGTAGTGTTTTGAGTCCTTTTTAGTTTCAGCAAGCTAGGTTGTGTCATTTGCATATCACAGATTTTGAATGAGCCTTTCTCTAATTCTGATGCTGCATTCTTCATATAACCCAGCTTCTCTGATAACTTGCTCAGCACACAAAATGATTACATATGGTGAAAAGATACAACCCTGACGTACAACTTTCCTGATTTTAAAACAGAGTAGTATCCCCTTGTTCTGTTCAAACAGCTGCCTTTTGGTCTCTGTATAGGTTCTCTATATGAGTATAATTAAGTGTCCTGGACTTTCCATTCTTTGCAATGTTATCCATAATCTGTTATGATCCATGTAGTGAAGCTCTCTTTGCATTGTCAACAAACCACAGATAAACATCTTTCTTTTGGGGAGTTTTTTTATTGGGTGATTAAATTTCTTCACTTGTTAGGAGTATTTGAGATATTCTATTTCTTCTTGAGTGGATGTAGGAAGTTTGTTTGTTTATCTGTTATATTTATTTTATCGAATTTGTTGATGTAAATTTGATGATAAGATTCTTTATAATCCTTCTTGTTTCATTGACAATGACCCCGCTTTCATTAGTAATTTAAGCTATTTGATTTTTTGTGTGTTTAAAAGTATAATCAATGATTTGTCAATTTAATTGATCTTTAAGCAGCCAACTTCTGATTTTGCTGATTCTATTATTTTCTGATTTTCTATTTTCTTTCTTTCCACTCTGATCTTTATATTTTCTTCCTTTTGTTAGCTTTGGGTTTAATTTGCTCTTCTTTCTTGTTTTGTTATTAATTTGAAATATTCTTTTTAATTTAGGTATTTACAGCTATATATTTCCCTCTGAGCACTGCATCCCATAAATTTTGGTACAGTGTGCTTTCATTTTTATTCTAGTCAAAGTATTTTCTGATTTATTTCTTGCTTTCTTCCTTGACCCATTAGTTGTTTAATTATATGTTGTTATTAATTTTTATTTGTCTCTATATTTCCTGTTTTCCTTCTATTATTAATTTCTTGGTTCAGTTCATTGTTATCAGAGAAGAATCATTGTATAATTTAAATCAGTAAAATTTTATTTAGTCGTATGCTAGAGAATGATCTATATGCATATGTGTCTGGGAGGTCTAATTATTGTATAGAGTTTTTCGGGTCCTCTCTTTCCTTACTAGTCTTCTTTCCAGATATTCTGTCCAATACTTTTAATGAAAGTAGGATAGAGAAATTTACAACTAAAGTTTATTTTGTCTGATAGTAACATAGTTCAGCTCTCTTGGTCACTATTTGCATGGAGTATCTTTCTCTTGTTCATTTTCAACTTGTTCAACCTGATTTGCGTCTTTTGGTCTAAAATGTGTCTCCTTAGTTTTGCCTTAGGGAATAAGCATTCTTGAAATATTTACCTTGGGTCTAACCCTCATTCCTTTCTTAAAGTGTTCACTTATGTAAGTTTTTAACTTGTATAAGTGAACACCCCATTTATTTTCATCTAAAACACTTTTCCTGTACATGTATGTTTTCCTT